TACAGCTACACCGTAAGGAGCCTGAATTACGTGTATACAGGCAAGTGATCTCTTCAGTCAGCCGAATCAAACCTTCCCCAATCTTCACAAATATTGAAAACAGGCAGATGTCAACGTCATGCCAAAATTACTAGGTCAGATCTCTGGGAAAGCAAGAATGAATTCAAGCCTCATTCTTCTGGATACAAACACCAGGAATATATTGCTGCTACCCTTCTTTCTGGTTATACCAGCAGAAGGCTGTTAGCTTTTAAAACTTCAAGAACAGGAAAGCCACAACTAGTTTCACCTGCTGGAAAACAATGATGCTAGTCAACCTTCCCCCTCATTCTCCATACTGCCCATAAGTGCCCTAACCACTGCACAGGGAAAGGCTAGGGTTAACAAAGGTATCCTCCTCCTATTTCTAAAGATGAACCAAAAAAGGAGCAGGAACAGGAAGATCCTGCAACTTGTCATTTCTCCTCTCTCCCCCCTCCAAGCCCTGCCCTGTTGCCCAGCAACATGTATGTGTGATTATAGGGATGGGGTGGGGGAAGGGGGTTAGAAGCAAGCAAAATGCTTCCTTTTTTTTCTACTCGCCTCTCCACATGTGGCAATAGTGGCACCAATCTTAGCACCTTCCCACATTACATTAGGACTTCAGAATAGCTAATAATGCCACTTGCCCAACCCCTTACCACATTAATCAAAGAATTTGTAAACTGAAACCCTGACCTCGTAAATTCTCACCAATTCTGCTTCCTTATCTTATGGCTACTGAAAATCCTTCCCCAGACACCCGCAAGCCTTACTGGAGCCTGCAAGCACAGCTCCAGAAGAGGTTTATGTGAGCCAATCCAGTCTGAGGCTAAATACAGCACAACTGCTTTAATGAAAACAACTTTTCTAGACAAGTTAAATCACCAAAATTTAACAAGTGTGTTCAATTAAGTTACCTATTCTAATCCCTTATATTTTCCAGTAGTTTAATTTCCTAGAGTTTGCCCAAATGTAATGCAGGTTAACGTGTACACTCTTCTATTTTGACAGAACCCATGCTGGAAATACATGTGCAACCAGGATCTAAGAATCAAGTTTCTAACTTAAACAAGTGTAGTTTAAAGAGTTTTGCAATGTATGGGTGGAACACTAAACTTTTACTGAAGCTCACTGCAGTGATAAACATAAGCTACAAAGCAGCTTGCAACAAACAGCAGGTTGAGGTTGCTACTTACGTTGCTTAGGTAAAGCCTCTGCCAATCTCCTCAAGCTGGTCAAACTGTCAGCTCCAAGCTGGTTTAAGATGCTAGGAAGCATTTCTGTGAGCTGCTTTGTCTCAGCATGGCCTGTAATAGTGAAAGTGTTAGCAGCCAGAGATGCCTGAACTTTAGGGTTGTTGAAGTGGATGACTGTCCCCTGGTTGGTAAACATATTAACCTGCAAGGGAAAAAAAAGAAAAAAGAGTCAGTTATTTAAACAATAATTTTGTAATTCCTATTACAGCCAAAACCATTGCTATTACAGCCAAAACCATTGCTTGAGCTCTCATTTAATGATGGCTTACTTTCAACATGTGCGAGATCTGTAAAACAGAAATAACAAAATAGGTTTCTACAAAAGAAAGTTTTAATAAAGCAGTTACCTCTTCAATACCAGAGATGTTGTTGACTCCCAGTTTCTTTAAAGAGAACTGAAGTTTCTTGTCATCTGCTGTAGCTGTTCTATGGACAACCTTCTTCTTTCTGCGAGCAGTACCCTTTGGGAAAGAGAACATGCTCCATTTACAGAACTGTTTTAAGATAACTAAGGACCTTTAATTTCACACATCATTCACTGGACAATCACTGTGTGAAGTTATATAACCGAGAAATTGGTACAGTTGGCTCAAAATTCCCAGTTTTGTGCTTGTGGTGTTAAGTAAATATTTTGCCAAGTTTCAGAGCCTTACTAAGTATAGTTTTTTTCTAAGAAAGTTCATTAACTTTCCATAAAATACTTTTATTTCTTAAAAATTAAGGGGAAAAAAAGATTCTTTACTTGGACTTAATCCAACTTCTGATACAGTCAACAACTTTAAGGAACTCATCATAGTGAAATCCACTATAAAATATAAGGTGCAAAAAACCATTTCCTTAAGTTAAGGACACTCCATAACTCTGCTTGCACCACCAGCTTTCTACAAACACAAAAATGTTGATTTCTGCAAGATGCAGTTATTTGGCAGGGCTGTGGCCTATTTTCTTTCCCCAAGGCAGAAGAACAGATGCACTTCATGAAGTAAAATGGCTTCAGTGACCTTCGATGTAACAAGATATTAGAATGTCTCCAAATACATCAAAATCTAGGTTCTCACTGTCTGAAACTGGAAGGAGGCAAGGTAGATATGCACCTTTATAGACTAAGATGTGCACAAGAGTGGAGTGTAAGTCAGGGGTGGGCAGGATGCAGCCCACCAGGCCATTCTATCTGGCCTGCGGGGCCCCTAAAATTTTTTTGAAAATTAATATTTATCTGCCCCTGGCTACCTATCATGCAGCCCTCGATGGCTTGCCAAAACTCATGAGCAGCCCTCCACCCAAAATAACTGCTTGCCCCTGGTATAAGGAGAGAAAAATCAGAATACAAGAGATAAATGGAGAGGGAGAAAGAGCACACACACATGTCCCATACTTAGTTTGCATGGATAGCAACTGCTTTCATCTTTAAGGAACTGAAGCCTGTTAATGCAAACTCCACAAAACATGTCCCAGCATGATCAAACTCTATGTATGGACTCCACCTCTCCATTAAGAATGACTGGGCTGCTGCTGGCCATATACAAGATATGGAAGATGCATCTGACTACTTCGCTTGAAGATAATTGCTGCCATTTAGCAGTAACTCTGAAAACTATATATCCTACTGTGTGTAATTTGCAAAGTGATACAGTAATCCTGTATTTCATAACCTAAATGGATTTAAAGTTATTTTGCCTGATTTAGATCCAAACTGAAATACTGACAAGCCAGTCTTACAAAACAGTGAGAAATGTTTTCCACCCCAGAAAGTTACTACTATCTTTTTCTGTAAGGAAAGAAAATTGGCTTTTCTTCATGAGTAGACCAATGCTGGTCTCAAATGATTTTATGCTGCTGTATTAAAGTACTTCTAGTAGCACTGGAATCCAAAGTCCAGTCCACTTTAAAGTCAGGAAAAAGGAAGTTCATTTATTAAAAGTGTTGCTATTCTTAAGACCCATAGGAAGGCTAAACTGAAACATCCCCAAGTTCAAATACATTCTAAACTCCACTGCTTTTAATGAAATTCATACAGCATGCCATGAATTCTATTTACTAGCTGCAAGCCCAATGTGTGCATTTAAACAACTGATTTACAGATATCTACAATCAGTACAATTATATCTGGTATACCTGCAACAGCTATGTAACTAAACGCCTCGTCCAAATAATACAGCAATTTGCAGTTGGACAAGTTTTTCTACATACTTGTGAATAACTATGATCTGCAAAAATTAAAACCACACACATGCCACAAAACCACTCTACACAGCCTGTGTTTTTTTAAGTTTGCTTGGCCCTGTAATAACAATTTTTAAGCCACTTTCAGAGCAAATAAGGGATGCCTTAAAAAAAAAAAAAATCTATACATCTGATCCCTCTACCCAGGACCTCTTGAGAATCTCTCAGTAATGTTTCATAGAAGCAGGACATTCCCTTGATTTAGGGTGGCTGATCTGTGTTGTGTCAGGGTTAATGATAGCCTTATGTAGAGTTTAGAATATGGATTGCATAGGATGGTTTGAATAGGGAAGGCCTGGCCCCAGGCCCCCTAGGGGGGTCCTAAATGACCTCTGGAGGTCCCTGCCAGCCTTACTTCTCTATGATACCCTACCAGTATGAATTTTATGCAGATTTAAGTAGGTCCTTCCCAACAACCCCTTTTTATAAAGTATGAGCTGCATATCTTCATTCATGCAATACCCAATTCTGAATGTTTCTTTAAAGGCAAATCAAAATTGTAAAATAAACGGAGCCAACCCAGTTAACAACAGTCCAGGTTTAGGTAGAGAAAAATGTGTCTATTGTTTTCATTTGGACTTTACTGTAGAAAAAAAATGGAGGAGCTTCCTCAGCAGCAGGCCCTGCAGCTCTTTGCAGTAACAAGGGGAGGCAGGAAGGGAAGAGAAAAAACAAACTGATGGAAAAAAAGACAAGAGCTGGCTTTTCAAGAGCCCTGTCCGCCCCAAATTAAAGCTGGAGAGAAACCAATGGATAATGTTGTTACACATTGTCAAGTATTAACATCACAGCTGGGTGGCTCTCAGTAGAGCTGGGCAGATGTTTCAGTAGCAGGATAACGACATTACCTGGGACCGCTTTAAGGTTATTGTGCGACCCCTCTGGGTATCAGGGGATAAAAGCTTTGCCCCTGCAGCTGAGCTAGTGGGTGGTGCAATTAACCCGTGAACTGTGCGGTAACAACTGTGCACTTGGAGTCGGTCTGTGTTTATTGTGGGAGTCACCTGCGAACCGCATCATACACGTCGGGGGG